ACACCCAGCCCACACACCCACACTTCCCATCTCTAACCACACAACCACCACCCATCAGAATAACTTTTCAAGCAAAAAACACTCAAATCCCCACACCGCCCCCCCCCCCCCCCCCCCCCCCGCGCGGAACAGCCTTCGCCACCTTACAAGGGCTGAAAAATTTGGCCTTGACACCCTTGATATAGTTATCCTCGTTGATCAATTTCTGGATGATGGGTTGAGAATTATGTTCATCGAACGCAGCTCTCGAAGCGTAATGCTCGAACATATGGAAGACATTCCTATCATCCGCATCTCGGACGAGGTAGTACTGTAGTGTTCCGGGTTCGGACTTGGCGTGCTCGTTCGTGTAGGCGTAGATGGCTTCTAAGGCATCGGCGTGTTGGGGGTGGGCGTAGACCTGGTCACCACTTTCTGTTGAGGAAGAGTCGTTCGGAGGGTTTGTGAGGTGGGGAAAGGGTGGGTAGTGCTTACGGTGCCGTAGATTACGAATTCGCCTTCGGGAATCTGGAGGTCTTCGGAGTCGGAGAGGAAGTCGTTGTAGTGGAATTCGGCTGGGCTGGGCATTGTGCTTTTTGAGTTTATTGTCTCTACGTTGATTCTGAGCTGGTTTTTCCTCTCGAGAGGGCTTTACATATATATAGACTTCTGAGTAACCATCTGAATCGATCCATGCTGGGTCGTCGTCGTGTGTGGCGGCATAGCTGGTGTTTAGTCAGCATTGTGGTTCGCGTTTGACCTCACGCGAGACCGCTGTCGTCTGTCGATCTCCCTTCCTTTCCACTTCCTCCCTGGACGGCCACTACTGGCACGTCGTTGCCCAGATGACACGGAGACACTGCGAGGCAACAGCATAACTCGGAAAGAGGCCGAAACTATGTACAGAATGCATAAAATTCATGACTAAAGGCCAGCACGACTGAGCGTTTGAGAACTCATTAACTTGGTCAGAAACAGAGACACAGTACAGCACCTCGCACAAGTCAGTGCTTACTGCCTTTCGGAATGGAGCACCGGCGCGACACGTTGTGCGGTTTGCACGACACATGCTGACCCGAAGAGTCGTGATCATGCTTTGGTCCCAGCACAGACCTGGCTTCGCTGACGGCGCATGAGATGAGGCTACAGTGCTGCATAGCCGGACATCTGCCGCCTCGATCATGGCATATACGGCTGCGATAACATAGACCGCGGAAATCACTAGTTTCGGATCGTCAGGCATCAACGCTTCTGCAGGCGAGGAAGACATAGGAACCTCGCCCCTCAGTTACACAATCTCATGTTTGTGACCTAAATGCTCCAAATACCCTTGTCCAATGCGTGTAACCTACTGTCGATGACAGTCAAGGTGCTTTCATCCTTCATGCCGTCAAGAACGTCAAGCGCGCTGCTCGCACCCTTTCTAGCAGCCCGCTGTACGTCTTTGTCCCAAACCATCGTTAAGTCGCCGTGCAGGAACGCTAACGTTAGACGTCCAATAACGAAAGAGCTGACCACAACTCACTGAAAGCGCATCTCCCTAACATCCGTCTACGAACGCGCATCACTTTCACTTCCGCTCCCCTCTTGCCCCTTCGACTCCCCAGGACCCGTGATTGGACTTGTAGGCACTCCCGAAGTGTCCTTCTTCTGCGTGACCTCACCAAAGACGATCACACCAATGAAGACAACACCCATCATGCCAGCAGAAACGCCATATGCTATGATATAGGGCCTTCCAGCGTTGACAAGCTTTAGGCCGAGCCCACCGTTGACCATGCCGAGCAGGATCGCTGTTCGACCCGTGAAGATGTGAGCGTAAGACCAAGCTGTCCGCTTCTTCACTTGCTTAAAGATGTTGTGGTGGATCGTGCCGAGGATCGGCATGAAGGATAGGACGCCAAAGAGAAGCATGCCGATGATTGCATGAGGCTGATTCAAGTAGGAGTCTTGCCTTGCCAGATAAATTCCGAGACCTGCTGCGGCGATGAAGACGACGTAGCTGAAGATTTGTAGGCCTCCATGGACCCAAGCTAGCCCTGGGAAGCTGGCTAGACGGACAAGAACGGCACCAATCGGGAAGATGGCGACGAAGGCGATGGAAGCCAGAGCACCGTGGGCTTGCATCATAGGTGTTTGCATCTGTCCTCCAGCCGTGCTTGATGAGGAGGTCGTGTTCGCTACCCCAGCGAGGAATGGATTTGCATCTGGACCTCCTGTGGCCTGCGACAGATCCCACTGGAACCCCCCCGATTTGTCATGATGAGAAATCGCAGTATTCAAGTCATCAGAGTTGATGGGCAGCCCTTGTAAATGAGCGTAGACCCATTGGCTGACGATGTCCTGAAAGTCCATCTTGCCTGTGCTCCAGCTGCTGCAGTTCTTGCATAGCACATTGGCCGTCATTTTGCCGTTCGCTATCCCAGAGCCCTCTAACAAGACGACGTCGGCAGCGGCATTATGTGTCGGCATTTGATGCCCAGGTGCATTTCTTGGGGAGAGCGTCACGTTCTTGCCATCCGCTGAAGCGTACATAACAAACATGTTGGCGTTACTCATCGCTGTACCCTGTGCAAGCGCTACCCAAGAGTATGTTGTCGGAGCCGACAGTTGGAAGTAGATATCGCCTGAGGCTGAGGTCGGTTCTTTTCGGGGTACACTGACTGAGTAGCAGACATCTGTGTCTGGGCAGGTGCTCAAAATGGCTGCTCCATTGGGTTTAGAAAGAGCATTGCCTGAGCAGTTGTTACCAGAGACTGGGAGGTGCTGGAAATCAGCTGTCAGAGACTTCGAAGGGTAAAGATCTGGGTTGGGGTTGGAGGAATCAAGACACATTGCGACCGTGCCGTTCTGTTGGCTTGGGTCGGCGAGATGCGGATTGATCTGTGTGCAGCCCAAGACATTATTCAATGGATAGTAGTCGACCCACGCGAAGCACATCTCGTCCCGGCTTGATTGGCCGCCAGCGACCGGCGTGGTGTCGTTCATAGTGTCGTACTCGCAAGTGGTGATAAGCTGATCTCCAGGCAGCAGCTGGATGTTGCTCAAAGCTTTGGAGAACTGGTACCCGTACTGGAAATCATACAGTTCCGACAGAGGTGCAATCTCAGTGCCATTGCGAATGATCTGTACGCGGGCATTGACGCCGCGGTAGTGCATATGATGGAAGACTGCAACGGCCGTTATCCCTTCGGCAGGCCACTTGCTTGTGCATTCGGGTGTGCAGATTGTTGAGTGTGCTACGAGTGGCTTGCCTGGGTCCATAAACCAGCCATTGACTTGCATATCGCCTAGAGTCAAAGTTCCAATTTCAGTTGCCACTGGACTATCAGTGTAGATGAACTCGTAGCTCGCAGCGTCCGTCTGGTTTGCGGTCCCACCAGGGTTGTTGTAATGTGTCTCTAGCATCGCATACTGGTACAGGTCGGCGCCGAACGGTTTACCAAATCCGTCTTCGAATGTGCGAGCAGACATGCCTGGAGCCCACTCTGTGACAAATCCATTGCAAGGATTTGAAAAGTTCTGCCAGTTGCAATCAGCCGGCTGGCCGAGCATGCTCTCGAACTGGTCAGCGGGACCATAGCATGCATAAAGGACTAAGTGATGAAGCAGTGGACTTGCTTTGGGCGGTCGTTCGCCAATCAAATAGCTTCTATTTGCCGTCGTCGGCATTTTGTGCATAGAGTAGCAGTAAGTGGTCTCATCGGTAGGAATAACTACCTCCGGCGAGACGACAGTGAAGTTCTGACTGTTGTTGGTAGTGCGAGCGATGTCCAAGGAGATGGCGTTGCTAGTGCCTAGCTTGACGTATTGCTTCCCCATGTCGCCAGCTGCGTGCTGTGCGAAGGTGTTCTGATCAGAATGAGCATAGATCATCCATTGAAACGAGTCGATAGCAACATTGCCTTGATCTAGGAGACAGTCGGCCTGGTTCTTCTTATCGAAGATGAAGGCAGTGACTCCATTTGCCTGGTAGCCTTGCTTGAATCGCATGTTTTTTGTTTGGTCTTGAGAGATCTCGGGTACAATAAAGCCTGTCGCATGGCGGTTCTCAAACATGAAGGTGCCATTCTGGTCTGTGTATCCGACTGCCATATCGGCCCCAGTCATCGCGCCAGTCTGGCTGAAGCCCACGGCAAGATAACCGCTGGATTTGGACGCAATCCCGTATGTCGAGTACTCGTCTCCAAGCGTCCAGAAGAGCTGAACATCTCCATTCGCTCCATCCGTATCTAGGGCGGCGTTACCATCGAATTGAGTCTGGCTGAAGGGTACCCAGGCTAGTGTTGAATTGTATGATGCAGCTGCCTGCGCTCCCGAGCCCAAGAGGGCCAACGCGAAGAGAGCCAATGCCATATTGGTGGAAGTAAAGTAACAAAGACTCTGAGACGAAAGTGTCGTAGAGGTTACAATAGAAAGAGAAGGGAGACGAGAAGGACACACGCCCTACTTGTTACCAAGATTTTCTATTTGGTTGCCTATAGCTTATGCCCCATGCTGCAAGGCGCTTCCTGCTTGGTGGCATGGTGATCCTACCGCACCTGCGCTTCGTTACTGCGATGCGTAACCGAAGGCATCAGGTTTCGCGAAGTGGCGCTTAATGCGATATTCGCTGTCTTGGCTGCGAGTTTCGCAGAGATAACAAGCTAAGCCGTAACAACGAGTCAATTCATATGCTGGTGCAGCTCGCGTTCTCTTAAAGCTATTATTATCGACTCGTACGTATCGTCGAGCTACGTATTCCGCCGCTAAGTAAGCCTCGAACTAGGATCTTTGTTATTCTATTCTTATTACCTAATAGCTAAGATTACTTACTCTATAGATATTTTATATAGCAGAATTAAGTAAATATCTATAACTTTTTAAAGTTTATAGAGCCTAATCTTTTCTAATACTAAAGTATAACTATAGCTATTTATAAGAGTACTAGCTCCATCTAATAAAATCTATAATACATATCTATAATATACTAAAGTTTAGAGCTTAGTAGGTAGGTAAGATCTTTAGGTAATTAATTAGATAGTAGCTTATTAACTAACTTCTATCTAGTTATAAAGAAATATAGTAATCTTATATAGCTATTACACTATATTGATTAGTAAGAGTAAGCTTATATCTACTAGAAAGAGGAGTAAAGTAAGCTTAGCGCTAGTCGAGCTATAAATTATACTATTAAAGCTATCTTAGTATATTTCTTATAACTAATATTAATTTATAAAGTTCTCTAAAAATCTCTATCTAGTTTATTCTATCTATTACCTTAACTACTAGTTGTTTAATAACTCTAGAAATCTATTTAGAATACTAAGAATAGTATTATATACCTATAGTATACTAGGGTTAGAGCTTATTAATTAGGTAAGAGATCTTAGTAACCTTTTAGTAGATTAGTAACTTATATTTAATATAAACTACCTATATAAGAAACGTTTATTCTATATATATAGAAGATTTATATATAGTTATAATTACTCTTAGTAATTATAACCTAATTATAGTTACCTATAGTAAACGTAATCTAGATTACTCGATTATCTAGTAACGAAGTAATTCTATATCTAGCTCTAGAGTTAGTCTACTAGCCTTAGGCTTTGGTACCTAACTTATTACTAACAATTAAATTCTATATCTATAATATTATCCTCTATCTATAGTTCTATATCCTTATAGTAGCCTATCGCTTTAATAGATTATTATTATACTAGCGTATAGTTATTGGTTTAATATAGTTTAGTATACTTTCTTCTTTAGAAATAATTATATTCTACCTAAAATTAACCTTATATATACCTCTTTAGTTAAATACGCTAGAGAGTAGAAATCCTCTTAGGTAAGCTAGATAACTAGATATTAGTAGTATATCTAGCTTAAACTCTAGTTTAAGTAGATATTAGTAGTAGATCTAGCTTAAACTCTAGTCTAATTAATAACTATTATATACCTACGGTATAAGGGGGTTAGAGCTCGTTAGACGAGTAAGTTCTAAGCGATAGGTTAGGTAAGTAACTACTCTAAGGTTTAACCTTTCGGCGGGTTAGTAACTTAGGTTAAATACGAACTACCTATATAGGAAACGTTTATTCTATATATATAGGAGATTCGTATATAGTTACAATTACTTAGCGGTAATCGTAAGTACTCTTCCTTACGGTTACTCGAGAGTAAGGGTAAGTAGGCTACTTACTTAAGGGTCTAGGTAAGCGGCGTTATGTAACCCTCTTATAGCCGCCCCTATAGGCCTAGCTTATTAGCTCCCTAAGCTTAATTAGTTAGTCTACTTATTGCGGACCTAATATCTATAATAATAACTCTATATTAGGCATTTAGGCTAGAAGACTAATAGATTACTAATATAGTTTATATCTATAAGATAAGATAATACTAGTTATAGTATCTAGACTAATACTATACTATTATAATATACTATCTATCTATACTTATTTATCTATATTATTTAGATCTTTAGCTCTATTGTTATAAGGGGTTGCTAATAGGGCAGGAAGGTGACTAGGCGTAGACGGTTAATGCGTAGACAGAAGCGTAACTAATTAGCAGTAGGTAAAACCTATCGCTAACTCCTGTACTTAAGGTTAAGTACGAAGCTCCTAACTACTAACACCTCCGTGCTTATATATATCTACTAGGTCGCGCCTCGCGCGCCCGGTGCGACCTTTCGCGCAGAGCGTCTAGATCGCACCTTATAAGTGTGCGCTTACGGGAGCGCCCGCTATAAGCGTTCCGGTGGTTACGTGCTACTAGTCCCCCGCGAGGGTCTTGACATCTATCTACTAATATTTTAACGCTAGTAGTATATAGTTCTTAATATCTTATACTAATATAAAATTAAATATAAATCTCTAACTAGACTATTTAGACTTAATAAGATATATAATAAGCTAGATATAGGTACTTTAATAGTAGTACTACTATTATAGCTTCGACTAGTATTCCTACTAGTATATAGGTTCGAGCTCCGTTAATTATTAAGGCTTTAATAGTATAGCTATAAAAGGCTAGTAAATAAAGTTCTAAAAGAGCTATAGTTTATTTAATAAATATAGAGACTATTAACTAGAAGTAGATAGAGTAAGGCTATATTGTTCTATCTAGTTCTAAGCGCAAGAGACTAGATCTCTACCTTATACTTAGCGGCGGGATCCCTCTATCTATACTAGTATAAATCCTATTTAGCTTTAAAACGTTCGTTACTCTAACTAAAGGTCTCTTTAATCTTAGTAAGTATTATTATCTCTATAGAAAAGATTTTCTAGGTTGTTATATAATAGTCTATAGGTTAATCGTTATCTAAATAGTCTTCTAAATAAGGTTAGACCTAGTTAGTAGCTAGTCCTCGAAGGTATATAGAGATAAGTATTAATCTCTTCGTTTATATCTCGAACTAGTCGTAATATATCTTAAAGTAAGTTAGTACTATATTTCAAACGTTTTAAACTATCGCTAGTTTCCTATAAACTTCTAGAGCTTATTAGCCTTAGACCCTAAGGACCTAGTTCTACTCTTAGCTAATCTAGTAGTAGATATATTAGCTATCTATACCTACTCGATCTAGCTAGTAAATAAGTTAATTAATCTATTATTATTATTAGGTAGAAGTATCTAAACGTCTAATTTAAGACTACTCCTCGATATAGTACTAGATATACGCTAATATTAGTAATCTTAAGTATTCTCTAATACTTCCCTAGAAGTAGTACTTAAAATATTATAAGAGGTTACTAATAGAGTAGAAAGGTAACTAGGCTTAGATAATTAAGGCGTAGATAGAAGCGTAACTAATTAATAGTAGGTAAAATCTATTACTAACTTGTTACGGACATTGGGTCCGCAATAAGTAGACTAACTAATTAAGTTTAGGGAGCTAATAAGCTAGGTCTGCAGGGGCGGCTATAAGAGGGT